GAAGAAGAAGTGCTGCTGCGAAAGACTGCAGCAGGAGTTACGCCATCAAGGTTTGCATGCAGCAGCAGCAGCTGTCCAGACACTGAACCTGCGGAAGCAGCAATAAGGGGTAAACGGAGAAGTAGATGTAGAATGAAGAATTAGAAAAAGATAAACAAATACGACAAATATCAAACGGCAGCAAAAAGATAGACAAAAAGGCAAACAGAAAGAAACACCAAAAAACAAACAATATTCAAACGCAGAACAAACAGGAAACAAACAAAACTAAAAAAACAGCGAGAAAATGAAATAAAGAAATATATCAATTAACAAAGAAAAGAAAAGAAACAACTCGACACGCCAAACAAACAAAACACAACAACAAAAAAGCTAACTAGCAAACACCAGAGAATAAATGTGAAATAACTACAACATAAATAACAAACAAAATAACATAATAAATAAAACAAATAAACAAAAACAGAAAAAAACGGCATAAAAGGAAGAGAAAACATCGAAAGACGAAATTTGAATTCGTTGAAAAAACAAAAATGCAAAATGCAGAAATTAGAAATAAAGAGAAGTGCGGATAATTTATTGCATTTCTCTGCTTATATAAAATTGAATGCGGATGAAGAAGATATATTAATTGATATATTTTATTTATTTTATTTATTTTTAAAACAAGTTTGTTTGTTTTACCTGCAAGAATAAACAGCCTCCCAACAACTGTGTCGTATAACGTATCAACGACATAACCGCAGCTTTCTCCTTCTTTAATTTCGGGGTGGCTGCGTATAGCCAGCCACTCTGCTCTGCGGTGTCCATACACCTCAGCTGCAGAACTATTAGGCTGAGAACTGCTGCTGCTGCTGCTGCTGCTGTTGCTGCTGCTGAAGCGCTCTAAGCCCTCAAGCTGCCACAGCCCCACATCTTCCATCGCGCTGCGGAGGCAAACGCATGCAGCATCAGGGCCTACGAGAGACAGCCCCTTAACTGCTCTGTCTTGTGAGAAGCAATAAACAAGACAAGAATCTCCTTCTTCATCATACCCTTTGCTGCTGCTGCTTCCTGCTGCTGCTGCTGCTGCTGCTGCTGATGTGTCTGATAGACAAACAAGAGAATCTTCTCCTCCAGAAAACAAAAGCTGCGGATACACCGGATGAAACTGCAAAGCCGTAACGGTATCACCATGCACTTGGATATCCCACAGCAGTTTTTTGCTGCGTTTCTGCTTCATTTGCTTCCTCCCCTGCTGCTCATTAGCAGCAGCAGCAGGAGCAGCAGCGGACGGCGAGGTGCTGGTGCTGCTGCTGCTGCAGACAACGCGCAAGTCAAACCCTTTGATGCTGCTTTTATATGAAACAGCAAACACTAAGTCATCGTTTCGTACAGCCAGACCCCAAACATCAGCTTCTCTACTACCAGGGGGTGTAATCTGCACGGCTGCATCTGCTGCTGCTGCTTGTGTTGCTTCTTTATTCACAGCTTTGCTGCTGCTGCTGCTGCTGCTGCTGCGGTGAGGGGCCCTTAAATCCCAGAATTTGACGGCTCCATCCTGCGAACTTGTCACTAAAACATTGCAATTTTGATGCAGAAATGAAGCACTTGTTATGGGTGCGTTATGAGCGTTGTTTAGGGTGTATGTACACCTCAAAGGGTTGGTATCGATAAGATAAATATTGCTATCAGCATCAATACAGCAAACATCTGTAGAAATTAAACTAGGGCTTCTAACGATGTGCTGCAAGCACGGGGGAGGCTCCCCATACACCCCACTGGGGTGTATATCTTGCTTGCTGCAGCATAGATCAAGGCATTCAACGCTTCTTATTAGAGGTAATTGCTGCTTATTACCTCCTCTTGTTCCTCTTATAGGGCCACAGCCCTCAATCTCCGGCACACAAAACCCTGAAAATGCACTCATTTGATTGCAGTTGTCTTTGTTTTGTTTAAATATTGCAAATGCTGCTACTCTTTGTTTATTCTTCTTTATGGGGGGCCATCATCACTGCATTCTGCATCAATATATTGGTAATAAGGTAATACAAATCAAAAAGAAAGATACAAACAAATGCAAGAGAAAACAAACGTCTGCGAAGCCTCTGCTTGCTTTGCCTCCTTTCTTGTATTGAAAAAAACCTCACAATAGTTGAGGTAATTATTAAAGAAATGATTCCTTTCTCGTGTATAAATGCTGTCTAAAATACGAATAAAAAGAAAAACAATTAAATGAGAAGAAGAAGGCAATAATAATAAAGAAGAAATACTTGTTCTGATTTAGGGGTATTGCAAGACTGCAGGGAGGGGAGATGCAAAAGAAATGCAGCAAATATAAACAAATCCAGCGGATATAACTCAAAAACAATGATTATAATTATTATATAATATTTATTTCCTTTTTAAATTTAAAGAAGAAATACTTCAAAACAAAAAATATTATTCAATCAACCGCATGCACATCTTCAGCGGCCCCACAGACAGCTGCAGACTTCTTCTTATAATTTTATTCGTATTTATATAAAATTAATTCTTTTTTCCCTTGTTTTTTTCTTAATTTATCATTAAAAATATTAAGTGAAAGAATATCGAAGGCTGGAACTTGAGAGGTGCGGCTTCCTGAGGTGTATGAACACCTGGCTGGCTCAGTATGCATATAGTATGTGTACTATAGTATACATATATTATATATATTATATTACATATTTATGCATATTTAACAAGGCATCGTTTAAATGAGTACTGGTGTTTATCTAGAAACTCAAGAGGAGAGAGATAGAGCTCTTCGTCTTTCAATTCTTAATTTTTTTACTGCTTCTCAACGAACAAAACAAATACAAGGCGAATGAAAATACAAATAAAAAACAAACAAAAAGGTTAAAGGGTATCTGAGGCCAGCTGCTCTGTAACACTCATCCTCCTATATTACTATTATTTATTTTTATTAAAAATATTGATTATCTTCGTTATTATTATCATTACTAGTATTATTGATCTTGTTATTATTACCACTATTATTATGATTATTATTAACATTAGATGCTATTATTTTTCATCACTTTTATTGTTGTTTTACCCGCAGTTCAACGTGAATAGTATTCTTTACTTTAAACAAACAAACAGCATCAGCAGCTAAAGCACTTGCTTCTAAAATTGTTTTTATGCTGTTACCCCAGCTGCATAATTCCCGTTGCAGTCCTCATCTCCTCAGCAGCAGCAGCAGCAGCAGCAGCAACTGCAGCATCGGCAAGAAGCGCTGCTGTGGTTGTTGACTATATATATATATATATATATGGGGTAATATATAGCCATACATTATTTAACTTGTAGAATAAAAAGATATTAGCAAAACGATATATATAATAAAAAGAGTCAGAGTGAGATATTTGCATGCACAGTAATTAATTAGCAGCACTTGACTTGTGCATGCGTATGTGTTTCTTTTTCTTTTTCTTTTTTCTTTTTTCTTTTTCTCTTATATCATTTTGTTTGTCTTTTAGAATTATGTTTGCTGCTCTTTAAATTCTGTCTGCAGCACCGCTGCCTGATGTTTAGACAGCGCTCCAATAATAAATTTACTAATTGCCTCTCCTCTACAATTAAAAGCAACTCCACTGCACCCTAAGAAAGAAGCAAAAAATTGCAGTGCTTCTGCAACAGACAGTGCTGCTGCATTTCTTTCTAATTGACCTTCTTGAGAATTCTGCAGTAAACAAAATGAAAAACAAAGAAAAACAAAATAAATAACAGATAATAGTAGACAATGCAATCAGATATATAATAATAATAATAATAATAATAATAATAATAATAATAATAATAATAATAAGGTAGAGAAAAAAGTAAATGCAAATATTCTATGCATGCAAACTGCACAGGCATCAAATAATTAACAAACAAACCAAACAAATAAACAAACAAACAGACACTCAAACAAACAAATAAATAAATAAATAAATAAATAAATAAAACAAATAAACAAACAAACAAACAACAAGCAAGCAAACAAACGAACAAGCAATTGGTATTAAGACAACAGAACAAGAAAATCAATAATATAATTATTGTAGCGAAGCTGCAGTCTCTTGTGTTTGTTGTTTTGTTGCTGTTTATTTATTTTTGTTTGTTTTGTTGTTTGTGTTGTGTTATATTTTTCTGTCTATTATTTTGCTGCTTCCGTTGCATTTTATTATTTGTTTGTTTTGCTGTCTCTGCTATATTCAATTCTTTTTGTTGTTGTTTGTTTTGTTTGTTTTGTTGCGTCTCTTGTGCTTTATTCCTTCTGTTTATGTTTTGTTTGATTCTGTTTGTTTTATTGTTTTTGTTTGTTTTGTGGGTTGTCTTTACTTTTAATCCTCTTTGTTTTTTTGTTTCTTTTCTGGTGATGTCTTTGTTGTCTTTTATTATTTATTTTTTTTGTTCTCCTTTCTTTTTTCTGTTGTGATTTATTCGATCTTGTGTGTTTTATTTCTTCTATTTTCTTTTTGTTCTTGTCTGCTTGAGTTTTTATTTCTGCTTTATTGTTTGTGTTTATTTTGCTAATTTGTTTGGTTTGGGGTTTCCCCTTTTGCTTTGTTATTTTTATTTATTTTGATATTTCTTTCTTTCGCTATTTCTTGTTGTAATACCCTATGCTTTCTCTGAGCTGCCTGTACACCCTAACTACTCCTTATATCTGCCTATACACCCGAAGGCTGCTTTCATCTTACTACTATAAACCCCAAGCTGTCTCCTAGTTGCATGTACACCCCAACTGCTTCTCCTAAATGCCTATACACTGCACGCTTCCACTTAGCTGCCTATACACCGCACGCTTCCACTTAGCTGCCTATACACCGCGCGCTTCCAGTTAGCTGCCTATACACCCGAAATTTCTCCCTGCTTACCTGAGTTAAATTACTGCGTTGCGTTTTGCTGTCGGTGGCTGCCGTCGCTGCATTTGCTTTTCCTTGTTTTGAATGCAGGTTAATATTAGTTGCATTATTATTATTATTAATATTGATATTATTATTATCGTCTTGTGTGCGTGTTTCTTTCTTTAGATCTTCAAGGAGGCGAGCAGCTGCAGCGTAGCTCTCTGAACGCTCTGCTTCTAGAGTTGTCTTTTGAATGCCTGATGTCTCTGCAAGAAAATCTACAATACTTTTTCTTGGTCTCGAGCGCCGCCTTCCATGCAGCAGCAACCCGCTGTTCTTGCTGCTGTGTTCACTTGTAGATGCTGATGAAGCGCTGAAGACGCCGCTGTAATCTGATACTCCTGCTCCTGCTGCTCCTGCTGCTGCTGCTGCTGCTGCTGCTGCTGCTGCTGAGGCCTTTGGCAGATCTGCCTGTCTTGTTGTCGCTACTTGGAAACGAATACGATCTGTAGTTACACCCGAAGGTGCTGAAGCAGGTTGTTTCCCTTCTTGTTTGCTGCTGCTTATATCTTGCTGCTGCTGCTGCTGCTGCTGCTGTAGGTTTCCCTCTACTGCCGCCCGTTTTGCAGCAGCGTCTGCTGCTTTGCTCCCAGCAGCAGCAGCAGCAGCAGGCGGTGGAGAGCTCTCAGCCATATCTGCCTCAAATGCATTTGCAGGTTCTGCTGCTGCTGCTGCAGAAAGACTTATACCTTCACTTAATAAAACGAATATGCGAGCGAAGATAGCAAGCGTGCGGCTTTCTAGCGATTCTTCTTCTGCTCTAGCACCATTTAAATAAACCTCTTCATCATCATTAACACTCATATTATTATTATTATTATTATTATTATTATTATTATTATTATTATTATTATTATTATTATTATTATTTGAGTTGTTTATTCCTACAATAAACTGCTGCGTCTTCACTTCACGACCCCACTCCACTGCAGCAGAATAACAAACAGCTGCGAGTGTACGCAGCCGCTGTCTACTGCAATTCTTAATGCAAACAGCTATACCTGCAGCATTATTATTATTATTATTATTTATATTGTTTATATTATCAGTGTTGAGGCTGGGAAGAATTTGCAAGGACGGCTCTGTCGATGCGACCTGCAGACAAAACGCAGAAAAAAAATAATTAATTAATTAATTAATTATATAATTAATTAATTAATAAATAAATTAATAGGGTAATTACTTAATTATTTATGTGATTAGTTGGTTAACTGACTATGTAATTAATACAAAATTTAATTAATTAATTTACTACCTATAATAAATAAATTTCTTTGTTAATTATGTACCGCCAATTAATTACATTAATTAATTAATTAATTAATTAATTGATTACTAAGTTCTTAATTGATATGTGTAATAATAAATAATCCATCAACCCCTTAAATATTATTATTGAATAGCTGATTAACAAATTAATAAGTTAATAATTTAATTATTTAATTAATTAGAGCAACAAAAGTAAAGATAAACAAAAAGAATAAATAAACTTCGCCTTCTTCTTACCTCCGTTCCTGCAAGGAGTGCTACAAGAACAACAAAATCTTCACAATAGATTTGTTGAGACCCCTTTGCTGCTGTTAATCGATATTCTTTTTTTAAATTATTTAAATAAAGCGAGAACTGCCCTATGCTTGTAGTGCTGGTGACGGTGGTGTGATAGAAAGAATAAGGGGGGCCCCCCTCCTCTAAACAATTGTTTGCTGCTGCTGCTGCTGCTGCTGCTGCAGCAGCAGAAGCAAACGCCTGACGCAGCAACTCTAAACTCTCCTCACTTGTTACTCCTGCAGGCAGCCACATCATCTGTGCTGCTGCTGCAGCAGCCCCGTTGCTGTTCATGCTTAGCAGCAGCTGCGTAGGCTGCAGACACTCCAGCAGCAGCGGATTTGAAGAAGCAGGAGCAGTAGCAGCATCTCCTGCTGCTGCTGCTGCTGCTGCGTGTGCATCGTATGTTTGCTGCTGTCCTTTGCTACCTTCTTTGTTTGTTTCTTTTTGCATATCTTTTCTGCTTCTGTCACCACCATTGGGGTGTATCTCCAGCGAAGAAGAGATATATTTTCTTCCCTCCTCTCCCGCATGCAGCTGCAGCCCCAAAGCGCATGCAAAGGCATCTGTTGCTAATAGAGAAGACACCCCAGTGAGGCTCTGCGTGCTCAACATGTTAGAAAGAAATGCATGCAAACAACTCGCTGTCTTTGCCTCTGAAGATATCAACCCTCCACCAATCTGTACACCGCATCTTCCCTTCATCTCCTCAAGCACAAACAAAGCAGAGCCGCAGGATATACTCTCTGCACTCAAACAAACATACCAGCAGCAGCAGCAGCAGCAGGTGCAGCAGCAGCAGCAGCAGCAGCAAAAGGAGAGGGAGCAGGAGCAGTAAGTAGTCTTGTACAGTGTCTTGAATTGATTTGAGGTGTACATACACCGCGCAAACAACCCGTTTTTCTTTGTTTTTCTTTGTGTTTACCTTCATTAGATAAATTAAGTGCATTTCTTTCCATGGTGAATGAACGAATAAGAGAAGCGAAGAGACGCAGCAGAGGCCGCGGGCATTTTGTGTTTTGCATCTGCATTTCTTTTGTTGTTTTGTTCAGAGTAAAAGCACTTTGCTGTCGTAGACGCTCAGTTAAACAAAGACACAACATACATAAATGAATTCCTCTAAACAAAACCCTCGCCAGCAGTGAGCCGCTCCCGCTCTTCTCCCCTCCTCCTCCCCCTACAGCAGCAGCAGCAGCAGCAGCAGCTGGTGCTGCTGTTGCTGCAGCAGGAGCAGCAGCTGGAGGAGCAGCATCTGATGCTGCTGCTGCTTCTGCTGCTGCAAGTTGCTTTGAAATCGCCAACATGAGCACCGCCAGCAGCAGAGCTTCAGAGAAGAGTTCCCGCAGCAAATGCAAACTGCAGCAGCAATATTTATCAATGAAGATGAGTATACGCATAACGGTCTTGAAATATTGCAGCATTTGTTCTGTTATTATCTCTTCTACGCTCCCGCATACACCCTCGCCTCTCTCTCCCTCTGGGGAAGCAGCAGCAGCAGCAGCAGCAGGAGCAGCAGCACGGGCGGTGGCAGCTGCTCGTTGCAGCAGGAGGTGCTGCTGCAGCAGCAGCAGCTTTTCCTGTTGCTGCTGCTGCTCCAGCTGGAGACGGAATGCATGCAGCTGATGAAGCCATACACGTACGCAAAGAAAAGGGTTGGGCTCTCCTATGCTGCGCAGTGTATCTCCAGTGCTGCAGACAGCTTGAAGATAAGCAGCAGCAGTTTGTGGGGTTTGATGCTTCAGAGCCTCAGCAAACTCTAGCAGAAGAACAGCCTTTTGCTCGTTCTTTGCGTCATGTAAATTCAACGTTGCTGCTGTTGCTGCTGCAGCAGCAGAAGCAGCAGCAGCAGCAGGGCTGCTGCTCCGCTCCTCCTCTCGAATTAGATGGTGAAGGGGAGGCAGCGTTAAAGACCGCCACAACTCAGCTGCTTCCACCTCGTGCTGCTGCAGCAGCAGCGGGCGGTTTTGTTTGTTCGTCTTCTGGTGATTATTATCTGCTGCTGTTGCTGCTGCTGCTGCTGCAGAGTCTGCTGCTGCAGCGGCGTCGTGGGGGTACGGGCCCCGAAGTGATGCTTCGGGATTCGAAAGGAAGCCGTACGTGCTGTTGCTGCTGCTGCTGTTGTTGTTGCTGCTGCTGCTGCTGCTGAGCTGCAGCAAGGCTTCTTTTCTGAGTAAGGCTATGCGGCGCCAGACTGCACTGTGATTAGCTGCTGTTGTTTCTTCAGGTAGAGTTTGAAGAATGTCTCTCTCTCCCCAGAAAGAATTTATTTTGCTGTCGTCTATCTCTGCTATTCTCAATAAGGCAGGGCACTCTACAAGAATGTATGAATATAACAAACATGCAGTTATAAAACTATTGTCTTCTTCTAACTTTACTTCTTTTGCATAATATCGCACCCATTTAGTTAGACAAAGAGCCTTACTGGGCTCTCCTCTCGCTATCAATACCTTTGCTAATAAAACAAGCAGATCCAATACTGCTGCAGGTGCACATATAACACCTGCTGCTGCTGCTGCTGTTGCTGCTGCTCCTCTTCCTCCTGCTCCTCCTGCTGCTGCTGCTGCACTTGCTGCTGTTGATGACAGCAGATGCGGAGAAGGCGCCCCAGGCGCGCTTGTGGGGGGCATAGGCAAATCCCACAGCTCTTCGCTGCTGTTCAAGCCTGTTGCTGCTGCTGCTGCTGCTGCAACAGCAGAAGAAGCAGAAGCAGCAGCAGCAACAGGTTCTTCATAAGAAGGCGCTGAACACTGAAATCCTTCTGCTGCTGCACGCAGCTTCAGCTGCGCAGAATTTGTCGCCGGGGGCCTCCGCCCTGCTGCGAGCTGCAGCAAACGCCCTATGAGTTTTGCTGCTGCACTTAATTGCTGCTGCAGCAAAAGGAGATGCGCGACGCGATGCCAAGCCCTAATCCCATTCTGCACATACATGCAAAAAATAACAACTAAAGAAACGCTGCTGATGCTGCTGCTGATGCTGTTGCTGATGCTGCTGCTGATGCTGCTGCTGCTGCCAAGAAGCTGCTGCTGCTACAGCCATGAATTGCTGCTGCTGCAGCAATTCATGGCTGCATGTTCATCTCACGAAGGGATGCAATAAAAGGGGAAAAGAAGATACAACCATACACTCGCTATTCGCAGTAGCAGCAGCAGCAACAGCCGCAGCAGCAACAGCAGCAGGAGAACGAGCAGCAGGAAGTGCGTAGCGCATACAGAGAAGGCGTTGTGTCTGTATTGGAGTGTTTATAGTTCTATATTGCGGTGTATAGACACACCAATACACTCGGATAAAGACAGAAAGCCTCATGCAAATCGCATGCAGTTGTTGCAGCAGCAGCAGCAGCTTCTGCTGTACTGCATGCAACATCTATCTGCCCTAATGCCTCCTGCACGTGTGAGAGCAGCATTAAGCAGCAGAAGACATCTTGAGTAGGAAGCTCCCTGAATACAAAGAAAAGAAGAAGCATAGAGGCTTACATAATATTTATATCTAAATATAATATACACATATAAAATATAATATATGTATATTATATTTAAACATAAAGGGTGCATGCGTTTATTCACTTAGAAAACAATAAAAAGGAATAAAGACAAGCAAATCCAAGCAAAGAATGTACGAAAAGATAGCAGCAATACCCACCGCAGAGATTGGGGCTGCTGCAGCTGTGCATGCAGCAACTCCATTACTTTCTGCTGCGTAATTCTTTCCTGAGGCGTTTTGTTTCGATTTGTATGGCGCGCTGCTGCATGCACATTTATGCATGCATGCATGAAGAGAAGAGTAGCAGGAAAAGGATGCTAGAAGACTGTATAGATGGGGTTGTTGTGCTGGTTGTGCTGCATGCATGCATGCATGTATGCATGCAGAGAAGAGTTGTTGCGTTGTTTGTGCTCCCTCTTTTCTTGTGACTTTTTCTCTTTATTTGAGTAAACAGTTGTAAATCAGTGCAGTAACAAGGTTTATTTATTTATTAATTAACATTATAAATTAATGCATTGTTATATGTATATTTTATATATACGTATGTATATATTTAATTATACTTACAGCCGCCTTCCTGCTGCAGCGAAGAAGGAGATGCTGCTCTTTTGTTCGTTGAGCCTGCTTCTGTTAATTGCTGCTCTCCCTCTGTTATTTGCAACATTTCATGCACAAGTGATAATAAACAAACGCCCAGTTGTTCCAGCTGCTCGAGACGTCGCGAGATTTCTTCTTGCTGTACATACACCCCAAGATGTTGTAAAGTTTTGTTTTGTTTTGTTTTGTTTTGTTTTGTTTTGTTGGGGGGATTGAGGCCCTTGCTTGAGAGAATATATATATATATATATATATATATATATTTATATACATATATATATAGACAATAGTGTTCGTAATGAGGTAGTAGAATCAATGTTTTGTTAAATACGACAATTATGAATTGTTGTTTGGATAACTAAATTTATTTTCTATTATTAATACTATGGGGGCTGCCAGCACAGCATTATTATTATTATTGTTATTATTATTATGATTGTTCTGTTATTAGACTATTACAATTATGATTGCGAACGTTATTATTATCACTAGTATAATAATAATTATTATTATTACTATAGAGTGCAAGGAATGGATAGAATCCTGAGCCCAAACGTGCGCATACACCTGAATGAGGTGCATATACACCTCAACTCACCTCAAGATGAGGAGCCCCAATATTCGAAACGACGGCGAACATCCACGCGGCCTTCGCCAAAATAAACCGCCGCGCATTTGAAGCCCCGTACAGATCTACAAGACGGCTGCAGAGACCACATAGAATAAATGCATGCATGCATGCATGCATGCATTTATTAGGATGCACCCATTTACTATTGTTATTATGCATGCATGCATACTTTTATTAGGATTATTATGCATGGTGCGGGGCTAAACCTAAACCCTAAATCCTACCAAACCCTAGAGGTTTAGGGTTTAAGGTTTAGGGTTTAGGGTTTGTGATGGATTTGCTTGCCTGTCTAATCTCCACCTCCAGAGGTCTTCTCTTGCTGCAATGTTTCGCGGTGTATGCGCACTTTCGGCATTGGTGAATCCCTGAATAAGCGTTTGTTGTGAGGTGTATAGGCAGCTGGCGTTGCTGTTGCTGTTACTGCTGCTCGATTGCCTCTCGTTGAAGGCAGAAGCGGCAGCAGCAGCAGCAGGAGCAGCGTATGCTTCAGCAGGAGCAGCAGCAGCAGCAACAGCAGCAGCAGGAAACAACGAGAAGCAACCACCAGCAAATACAGAACCAGGGAATTCTCCTCGTTCAAACAAACACGCAAAAGAAGAATTTGCTCCACTCGCTATTTCTCTCAACTGCCAATGAGCCGCCTGCAGGTCTCCGCAGCTGCAACGCATACGCGCATGCATGCCTGCATGCATGCATGCAATCGTGTATGCAATGAATACACTCATACATGCATGCATGCAGTCGTGTATGCAATGAATACACTCATACATGCATGCAGTCGTGCAGTAGATGTATATGTGCCAAGGTATTTGTTCACAAATCTATACACACATATACATAAATATAGAAGCATAGTTTTTTGTTAATATATATATATATATACATATATATGCATATATTTATTTATTTTTATTTTATCTGTGTTGTATACATTATATATGTTGCATTATATTATGTAGACTGTATACATATATATATATATATTTATTTATCTACTTACTCGATGCAGAGCCAAGCGCGTAGCAGTCTGCAGTGTACCGCCATTTGAATATTTTTGCAGATATCTGCAGCAACAAATTCTGCAGAAGAGAGAAAAAGAAATGCTTTCTCTCGGGTGTAGTTACAAGAGCGCAGAATGCATGCAAACCATGTTAGCGCTTCGACGAGCTCTGCTGCGCTGTTGCTGCTGCTGTTGTTGTTGCTGCTGCTGCCTCCGCTCCCGCTGCTGCTGCTGCTGCCTTCTGCTGCAGGAGACAGCAATGAAGCAGGAAGGAAACTAAGATGCGCATGCAGCTGCTTCATGCGGTGTCTCATGACTCCTCCGTCGCTACGGCCTGCATACAGCTTTTCTGCTGCTGCTGCCGCTGCTGTTGCTGCTGCTGGTGTTGCTGTTGCTGTTGGTGCTGCTGCTGCTTCTGCTGCTTTATTTTTATCGCTGTTGCCTTCGTTTGCTGCTGAGTAAAGAGGAGGGTATTCTGCTGCTGCATGCAGAGCCCCAGATAGAATGCGAAAGGCTAGCAGTGCTGCATGCAGCTGCTGCTGGTGCGAGTATCTGTGGATAAGTCTCGCCCATTTATACAGAGGTAAGAGGCTATGCATGCGTAAATTAATTAATTTATTATCATATACGATAAAGAAGCTCTCTTCAATATGCTCCCACTCCCTCAGCAAACTTCTACGACAGAAACAAGCTTCTACTGCCTCTATCCATGCACTGCATGCAATATCTTCTTGAGATACTAACCAAGATAAATCTCCTTTTCTATTTAATACCCAGCATAAACCTAAAAAATCTTTAGCTTGACGCAGTGTATGCACGGCTTTCTCGTGCAGACGCAGCGCTCGCTGCAGCAGCAGCGACAATGCAGCAGAATCACTGCACAATTCAAACAAACAACACAAATCAATTGCTGCAAGCCTGAAAAACTACAACAAATTATATTAACTCCTAGTCAAAGGATTGATGTGCCTGCCCCCTGCAATACACTACTTTATACTTTAGGGTTTAGGGTTTAGGGTTTAGGCGGAGAGGGAGGGTTTAGGAGCTGCGAGCAGCATGCAGAAAGGCGGTCCAGTTGCAGAGATATAGGCTGGAGTGACGTAAACCCTAAACCCTAAACCTTAAACCCTAAACCCTAAGCCCTAGAGACTGACGTGTTGCTGCACTTGGCTTCCCAGAGGTTTTTCCTTGTTTTTTCTAGGCTAAGGAGAAGAGCATCTGCTGGGTTTGGGGCTGCATGCATTGTGTTTAGCTGTTGTTGCAGCAGCACCTCCATTTGCTGCTGCTTTGCTAGAGAGGCTTTTACTGCGGCTTCTCGTTCTCTCCAGAAGCACAAGACATCATCTGCTGCTTTTGCTGCTTCTTCTGCTGCAGCTACAGAAGAAATCAACAGCGCATGATCACTCTTTGCATCTAACCCTTTTGTTGCTCTTCGCCTTGTCAAAGGAGCAGCGGATGGGCTGTACACACAAACAAGAAATAATGGTTAGAGTCTAGGGTTTAGGGTTTAGGGTTTGAGGGCTTTAGGGTTTAGGGTTTGAGGGCTTTAGAGTTTTAGGGTTTAGGGTTTAGGGTTTTGGGGAATAGTATTGAGGGCTACGGGCTGTGTAGGAGGGGTTTAGGGATAAGGGTTTAGGGTTTAGGGTTTATTGTGTTTGAATTATACGGTTCCTGTGTTTCTTTTTCTGCTGCTGCTGCTGCAGCTTGTTGGAGTTGTTGCTGTGCTTGTGTCTGCTCTCTTGCTGCTGCATTTAAGACTAGTTGTGCTTTTAGGAGTGCATGTTGTTTAATTTTTAGCAGCTGCTGCTGCGCATGCAGCCCCAAATGAAGAACACAGCGAAATAAAGAGCTCCTCCCCAAGCGAGCGAAACGCCGACAAAGATAAACACTTTGCTGATATCGATGCCGCTGCAGCAGCAAACGGATGCAAAAAACAAATACCCCTCCTAAACACCAAACATTTATCTTCTGCATGTCTGTACGCAACAAACAAACAAAATAAACAAAATATTTTAATTACAAATCCAGGGTATACTCAGAAGGCACACGCGGGGCAGAAGCTGCATGCAATCCACCAAATGAATATATATGTATGTATATGTATCCATATATATATATATATATATATATATAAACATACATATACATATACGTACATACAATATATATATATATATATATATATATGCATGCACACATACGTATGTCCATAAATATAATATATACATATAGATATGCATGTGCATATATATATATATATGAATATATGTATAATATGAATATTTGTTTCCCCCTACTTCTTATTGCATAGAGGAGAGAGATAGGCAGAAGAGGAGAAACAAAATAATAAAAGACAGCCCCCTGCATCACTTACCAAATGCTCTTCGGCAAACTGCGAGTTGTATGCTGAGGGCCTCTGCGTTGTTATTTATATCGCTGCTGCTGTCTTCTGCTGCTGCTGCTTCGGTTGCTTGCAGCAGCAGCAGCGTGGAGCCATCACAGTCATCCTCTGTTACTGCTGCTGCAGCAGCAGCAGCAGTAGCAGCAGGAGGTGCTGCGTTGATAATGGCTGCAGCGCACGCATACACTTGAATATAGCTCAGTTTGCTGCAGCTGCGCTGCTCTCAGGTGTACATACACCCCCGTACTGCAGCAAACACCACTTAGACTCACCCTCAAGCTGAAGCATGTTTATTTGATTTTTTTCAAATAACTGCAGGTGCTGCTGCAGCACGAGATAGAGAAGATCCGTGCATGCTTGAGCTACCATGCCTGCTGCAACAAACAGCGGAAGCTGCTGCTTCACATCTCCGTGCTGCTGCTGCTGCTGCTGCCCTCTGAATCCACGAGGCACTGCAGCCGCAACACTTGAGCTGACCGATCCCAGAGGCCTTACAAAGCTCTTCGTCTCCCCGCGCTTCTGCTGCTTGCTGATTGCTGCTGCTGCTGCTGCTGCAGTGCCGTCTGCCCCGCGGCTGCCTTCTCGCGTTGCTGCTGCTGCTGCTGCTGCTGCGCCGAAGGCGTCGTGCCCAGCAGCAGCAGCAGCAGCAGCACTGGAATCCCACAATAACGCGGTCTCTCCGCACTGGGAAAGGGACGGGTCATCAAAGAAAGCAGCAGCAAGATTTCTGTCTATATGCAGCAGCAGCAAAGCATTGCCAAGCTGCATGATAATAGAGTATGCTAGCAGCGGAGCATTCGCAGCAACAGCACAAGAAGCTGCTGTTGCTGCTCTTTGAAATAACAGCGAAAAGGCGCTCCAAAAAGCAGCAAGGTCGCCGGCTGCTCCTCCTCCTGTTGCTGCTGCTGTTGTTGCTCCTGTTGCTGCTGCCGCTACTGCTCCTGCTGCAGCTAGGTCAGTGCGTCTATCGGAGCTTATTGAAGAGGGCGAGGCAGCAGCTGCATGCGCATGCCCGGGAGCATCGCAGCCTGCATCTTCAGCGTTACCTGATCCGCCTGGTGCTGCTGCTGCTGCTGTTGCTGCTGCTGCATGGTCGTTGCGGGGCTGCAGGAGTATTTCAGCAGCAATTGCATCGAAATCGAAGAGCCCATGTGGAGTGCGCTGCGTTTTGCTGCTGCTGCTGGTGCTGCTGCTGCTGCTGTCTGTGTGTCGAGGGGGCGCTGTTGCAGCTCGTCTATAGGCTGAGATAGTCTCCATTGGTGCTGCCAGCAGCAGGGAATATAAATGTGAGAAGCACTGAAGTTCTGCTGTTTGCTGCTTCGCTATTTGCTGCATCTCCCGTTGTGCTGCTCTAAGCCGCCGCTCCTGCAGCACTTCTTGTTGATGTAAAGCCTGGGCATGCGCAGAAGTATCGAGAGCTGATACCCCCTCTTCTGCTGTTTCTGCTGTTGTTGCTGCTGCTGCTGCTGCTGCGGTGTCGCTGCTGACAGCACCTAGCGTGCGGTGTTGTAGGACTTCACCAGAAGCCAGCCACTCAACGAGAGGTTCTGCTGGTGCTGCATGCATATGGGCGATAGCATCTGTGTAGCTGCGAAGTGCAGCAGCAGCAGAAGCAGCAGCAGGAGCAGCAGCTTCAAGCGCAGCTGCTGCCTCTGCTACGATCTCATCAATCTCTGCGGTGTCTGTACACTGCGTCTCTCGCATGCGGCGCTTCACACCCAGAGAGAAGACAGCAGTAATAAGGTGCATAATAGAGAAAGAAGAATCTTCTTTAAATAGCGAGGTCTTGCATGCAGAGCGAACGAAATCTGCAAGCCGCTGCAGCGCAGCAGCAATCTCCACCGGTGCTGCTAGCAGCACATGCAGCAGCAGCAGCCCCAGCTGCTTACCTTCGCCGCTGCGGCTGTCGCACAGCCAGGCGGGAAGGGGGAGGGTTTCTAACAAACCAGCAGCAGCAGCGGCAGCAGCAGAAGTAGCAGCAGGAGCTGCTGCGGGGCCCCGAGGCAGTGGTGAGGATGCTGCTGCAACAACGCATGCACTCAGCCACGAGCTCAGCAGCAAACGCTTCTGTGCAGGGCTCAGCAGCAAACCTGCAGCAGCAGGAAGCGCAAGACAGCGGGGAAGGCGTTTGCTGCTGAGTATTCCATGAATAAGGGGAATCTGCAACAGCAGCAAACAACAAAAGAAACGCAAACAAACTGAGGTGTATGTACACCTGAGCCTTCGCCGCAGCACGTGATTGCATCGCTCTGCAGACCCTTCTTTTCTCTATTGTATCTGGCATGTATGTTGCTGCTGTTGTTGCTGCTGCTGCTGCTGCTTCTGCTTCTGTGACGGGTGTGCCTTCACCTGCAGCTGCGCTGCAGCAAGACAAGCCATCCCCATTAATGCCGCTTCTGCTGTTCTTGTTTGTAGTGTTAGGGCCGCCAGAGGTGTTGCATTTAAAGCAGCAAATGAACGAAGAATAGGATAAAGAAGAAGTGCAGCGGGAAAGGAGTAGAGAGAAGAGAGAAGGGTGCATAAAGAATGCAGCAGCAAAGATAGCTGCTGCTGCAGCAGCTCCGTGCTGCGGCTATACACCGCTAACTCTACAGTATTACACTGTCTATACACCCGACGTAGACGCAGCAGCACCTCTTCCCGCCATATAATAACATTATTTGCTGAGCTGCGCTCTTGAGGCTGCAGCAGCATAAACAAGTGCAAACAACCCACACAAACAAACAGATGCAGCAGCAAACAAACAGAACGAAAAAAGCATTTAACCTAACGCCAATACAATTAAATCAGATGCTTCATGCAAAACAAAGAGAAAGGGCAAACAAAAAACAAACAACAAAAAGAAGAATAAAACAAAAGCAACAAATACAAGAAGAAAAAACAGCAAAAAGAATTTCAAAAAGAAAGCAAATAGGCAAACAGCAAGAGGAGTATGAAAATAACAAAGATAAACAATAGAAAGAATAACAAAGAAGAATGATATAAAGATTAACAACAAAACAGCAATAACAAAACATTAAGAAAACAAACAAAAGGAAGATAGCACGAATAATAAAACAGCAAAATATAATTCGTTAAGAACTACAGTACCAATAACAACAACAAAAAGAAAAAAAATAAAACAACAACAAAAACAATAAAAGAATAACAAATAATAACAAGAAGAACAAGAAGAAGAAGATGAAGAAGAAGAAGGAGAAGAAGATAGAGACAAATTTTAAAAATATATTTCTCTTTACACATCCGTCTGTCTGCATTACATCCACACAAACGCCAATATTTCTGCTGGCTCCATATATATAAGTGTATTCATATATATATATATATATACATATATTTATACATATCTACATATAGATGTAAATACATGTTATATGTATAATATATATATATATATATATATATATATATATATATAGAATGCATGCATATGCATAGCAATATATCCGCATAAATATATAAATATACATATAAATGCATACAATGAAAGTGTTTTAATACATTTATATTTTCGTTTATATGCATATTTAATTAGAGGGCCTCTCACGCATGCGACGAGGCTCTCAGCAATTGAACGAAGCACAGCGGGCGGAAGCCGACCTGCAGCAGCAGCAGCAGCAGCAGCAGCAGCAGCAGCAAAACAAATAGAAGCCAAACAAAGAAAAGCAAATAGACAAAACAAAGAGCAGAAAGCAACTAACCAGTGAGACAAATACGCAGAACCAAACAGAAGAAGGAAGGAAACAAACAAAATAGAAAATCATAGAAACAAAACAGATACAAGCAAATGTACATATGCATGCATAGAGATATATGCATGCAGATTGTCTCTGCCTCCTTATATTCATATGCACATGCATACATACATACACGCATATATGTATATATATACAAATACATGCATGTATAGAAATGTATATATATATATATATATATATATATATATATATATATATATATGCATTTGCATAATCTATTACCGAAAACAAATGCCTGAACCACCCAGCATACAAAGCATTCCTATATATATATATATGCATACATACAAATAAAGCAACATAAATGCATGCATCATATATATCCTTATGCTCATAACACCTTAGTCTAAGAACCCACGTATCTATACCTATGCATGCATATATAAATATATACTTATATATATATTTATACATTTGAATATGTATATATATATATATATATATATATATAAATGTACATATCTAAAAAATAATTTTGTTATAATCCTCACGAAGTGCGTCTTGTTTAAAAGTTGGCGTTTGGTGGCGTTGACTTTTTTCGCCCCATTCTTTCGCTGAGACGCAACCCCACTGCTCTCGCAGTACACCCTAAACGCATGCAGAGAGCATATATATATATATATATATATATATATAGTTGCAGAGAGGCGACAGCAAAACCCTAAACCCTAAACCCTAAACCCTAAACTCTAAAGTAAGGTACTGAAGTGTCGTTTAAGCTAAGATATGCAAAATAGTAGAAAATGTTTCTGAGATGTTTGCTGCTGCTTCCTTTTCTTCTTTTGTCTATAGCCCCTCAGCTAGCAAACAGCTGTACTTTATGACAAAGCAAGGCTTTAGGGTTTAGGGTTTAGGGTTTGGAAAGGTACTTGTGCAACACGGGTGAGACCACAACGAAGTGCTGTGGTGTATATACAGCCCCGCAGCATCGGGAGAGGGAGAGGCCAGGCGCAGCTAAGAGGGGTCGAAGCATCACTAAATAAATCAGAAGAGCGAGAGCCTCCAATCTCTTCGTATGCAACTGCAGCAAAGAAACAAACAAACATATCTTAACGCTGAATATACACAAGCAGCAGCAGCAGCATCAGCAGCAGCAACCGCAGTAGCAGCAGCAGCAGCAGCAGCAGCAACAAAAGGAGCACCAGAATCAGAAACAGCAGCACCCAAAGGAACAGCAGCGGAAGCAAGAGCGAGAGAAATACCAGCAGCAAACGTAGCAGCTACAGAAGCAGCAGCAGCAGCAGCAGCAGCAGCAGCGGAAGTAGCAGCAGCAACACTAGCTCTAACAGCAGCAGCAGCAGTAGCACCAGCAGAAGCAGTAGGAAGTAATATTTGTTCTCACCGACATAATGTTGAGTGTCTTTGAGTTGCTGAATGCAAACTAAAGAATTTATCTCAAACCTTAGGCCCGATCCTGTTACTGCTTTCTGGTGTCTAGACACCCCAAGGCCCCCAGGTGTACGCAGGGGGCCCCCATACAAAACCCGCCAGGGCCTCCCTGCACCGGGAGCGGAGGGCCCCCCTGCAGCAGCAGCAGCAGCAGCAGCAACAGGAGCAGCAGCTGGAAGACTCAGCAACAGATACTGGGGGCCCCGGCCAACCATCAGAGGAGCACCCAGCTGTCGGCGTCTTTTCGAAGACCCGCTGCTGCTGCTGCTGTTGTTGCTGCTGCTGCTGCTGCGGGTTACAGGATCAGCCAAGGACTTGACTTCGGCTGCTGCTGCTGCTGCTTCTGCGTCTGCTGCCGCCGTTGCTGCTGCCGCTGCAGCTGCTGCTACCCATCTGCGTTCGAGCTTGGCAGCAGATGCAGCCTCCGCCTCAGCTGCAGCAGCAGCAGCAGCTGCTGCTGCAGGAGGAAGCGTAGCAGCAAACGCACAAAGATATAAACACCGGCGGTAGCAATTGACGCCGCACTGCTGCTTCAGCCGCTGCTGCAGCAGCTGCTGCTGAGTGCTACTGCGCTCTCTAGCTGCAGCCTCTTCCTGCCCATCAGCAACAACTGCTGGCTCCGCCTTGCTGCTGGCAGCAAGCATGCTGCTGTTGCTGCTGCTGCTGCTGCTGCCCTTCCCCTCTGGATCAGAAGCAGTATGAACACCTGCAGAGGGAGTGAAGGCGGGGGAATCTCGCAGAGGCTGCACAATAAAACAAACAAAATCAAAAATTTTGTTTAGCTGTCTTTGTTTGCTGCGGCTAAACAAATATAATATAATATACTGACGAGAAATGCAAGTAAATAATATTAACATACAAATATGTACATTTATTCATTTATATTTAATTACGTTTGTTTTTATTTATTTATTTTTATGAATACAAATCAATAAAAAAGTTATTGAGGACATACTTTTATCTGCAAGTGCAGTGGTTTATGTAGATATGTGCATGCATGTATAATACAGCGAGGCATAGTAAGTAACAGCTGCTGATCTGCTGCTGCATGCAGTCAGCACTAATTTGAATAAGATATAAAGCAACAAAGAGGGAGAAAAGAAACAGAGAAGAAAAGTAATGATGGATGCATAACAACAAACAAAGCCCTCGCCTTTGCTGCTAGCCGAGCCTCCACGTCATACAGCAGACATAAGAGAGACCAAGCCTCAGCTGGTTCTGCTTCCCAGGTAAGGGAAGCCCCTGCATGCAGCAGCAGCTGCCGCTGCTGCTGCAGCTGTTGCTGCTGCTGCTGCAGCAGCAACTCCTCTTGCACCTGCCGGTCATTCGAGGTCGTGCTGATCTCCTTCGTTGGCGTGTCTTCTGCTTCTTCTTTATCTCGCTGCTCCCAATAAGCAGCAGGATCCGCTGAGGCCAGCAGCGCTGCTGCTGCTGCTGCTCTTGCTGCTGGTTGTGCTGGTGCTACTGCTGGTGCTGCTGCTGTTGCTGCTGTTGCTCCTACAGCCTCTACAAAAGGGGCTGCCAACTCAGAAGCTGCGGCTTCCGCTCGAAGTATTAAACCCCTTAACATATCAGGCAGGCGAAGGTCTTCTCCGCTGCTGGCAGCAGCAGCAAGCGCAGCAGCAAACACAGCAGCAAACGCAGCAGCAAATACACCATGCGTCACAGTGCATGCAAGCCGATATAATAAAAATAAGGAGAGCCAGAAGATATTACATACTGCAGCGTTGTTTATTATTATTAAATACTTTGCACATAAAACAAGTGATACAGCATCCTACTGTACGTACACCTCAACGAAGCACAACATTTTTCGACGGAGTATACCATTCCACAATGATGAAGCAATATAGCAATATGCTATGCATAATAGGGCAAGCAGCAGCAGCAACAGCTGCTGCTGCTGCCGCTGCTGCAGGCACTGGGACATTCCCTGACTTGTTCGTCAAAAGGCTCTGTCAAGATTGAGCAACAGCAGCAGCCCGGCCTCCTGCTGCAGCATCAGCAGTAGCAGAGATGTGTGGCAGTGCATGTGAATGTGTGCCGTGCTGTGCATGCATGCATGCATGCAGCAGCAGCAGCTGCTGCTGCTGCTGCCGTTGCTGCTGTTACTGCTCACGAGAGATGGGCGCAGCGCTGCGCCAAGTCATACAAAAGAACACCCGCTGCAGCCAGCGGCCTCAGATGATTGAAGCGGCATTTTATCATCAGCAAAGCCACGTGCTGCACTGCCTTCTTCAGCTGCAGCAACAGCTGCCCAACAGCACCAGCAGCAGCAGGACGCGACTCAGCAGCAGCAGCAGGAGCAGCAAACTGTGGCTCTGCAGCGCTCGACTCAAGTAGACTTTGAACGGCTTCCCCCGGAGCAGCAGCAGCAAGAAGAATATTTGCTAGAGGAAGAATATGACTATGCCACAGCTGCGTACAGACAGAGCACAGCATTTAGCTGTCCATACACCGCACCGCATGAAGCTGCATATATTGCTGCTGCAGTTCCTGATGCAGTTTCTGCTTCCGCTGCAGTATAAAACCCCTTCTCCCCCAGCTAGCTACCCAGCCAGCTAGCTAGCTAGCTAGGTGTACACACTCCTATCCTATTGGCACAGCAGAGTACAGCTAAAGCGCATCATTGGCTGCAGATACACCGCATGCAGCATTGCTTGTCTTTTCTGTCTCTTCCCCTTCCTTTATTTACCCCAACTTACAACGAGCAGCACTTCACTGAGGTAGTGAGAAGAAAAATATTTAAGCTGCTCTTCGACGCCTTCAGCGCTAAAGGCATCAATCCATAGAGACGTTAACTCTACAACGAGACTCAGCCGCAAATCAATGTTCATCTCCCCCTCGGAATGAGAAGAAGGCTTTCTAGAAAGGCTTAAACTGTTGCTGCTGCCGCTGCCGCTGCTGTTGCTGCTGCTGCTGTTGTTGCTGTTGCTGCTGCTGCTGCTGCTGCTTGTGAGGTCCTTTAGAGTTGCAGCAAAGGCCCACGGGGCCTTCGGAGCGCTGCGTTCATAGAGAAGAGCGAAAGGCTCTCCTTCCCCGTCTATTGCAGCCTCCAGCTGTCTCAGCAGCAACCAAGTGCAGAGTTTAAATATTAAAATATTTATAGGCGCAGGCCCCTCCGTCTCTGTCCATACACCGAGAGATGCTCCCGGGGGGTCCTGCAGCACAGACACAGCTGCTGCAGCAGCTGTTGTTGCTGCTGCTGCTGAAGTTGATCCTGCAGCTGCTGCTCGTCTCTACCCTTAGCCCACCCCTTAAGCCCTAAACCCTAAACCCTAAACTACGACTCAAACGTTGCGCTTCGGCACCTGCAACGGATATTACTACGATTATGACGGGTGTTAATGAACAGACAATCAGCTACACTTTTAGCGCTGCGGTGCTGCATGTTGCTGCTGCAGCATGCAGGAACTATAACAGCAGCAGCTGCATGCAGCCAGCAGACCTTTTGCGTTTCTCTTCTGGGCAGATGAAGTAAAGCATTGAGATGAGGGAGAGGCGGTGAATACCAAGGAGAAGAATCAGCAGCAACACATAACACATTCAGGTGTATACCGAGACAGCTCTGCAGCAAAGAACGAAGACAACCGTGCAGCCGCCAATGCAGCACCTCTGCTGAGCTGCCCGAGCAAGAAGACATCAATTCCTCGCTTTGGGGGGGCCCCTTCGTGGGGCTCTTATCATCTTGAGGTGTATTGCAATCCACAGCAGAAATTGCACAGCCTGCTGCAGCCTTTGTATACACAAGAAACGTGTGCTCCCCTGCTGCCGCTGCTGCTGCTGCTGCTGCTGCTGGTGATGGTGATGCTGATGCTGCAGATAGGCGCAGCTGCAGCACATGCACGGTTATAGAGTCTGGAGCTGCTGTAGGATGCTGCTCGTGGGGTGTCTTTACACCTGAAGGATCAGCTGCTGCTCCCTTAGTATTGCTGCATGCAGCCCCTCCTAATTCGGCTGCCTCACCAGCAGCTAAAACATTGTGAATTACAACTTGCGCGTTCGCAACCTGCTGCAGCAACTTCTGCTGCTGCTGCTGCTGCTGCTGTTGCCTCAGCAATAGCCGCAGAGGCAGCAAAGGCATCTCCGCATCTTCCGCTATATCGTACACTGCATGCAGCACGCGGTCTACTGGGAGTGACTTCCCCAGGGGCCCTGATGCATGCGCCTCTTCAAGAGCATTAGTGCTATCTGCTGCTGCTTCTGCTGCTGCTGCGTCTGCTGTTGCTGTTGCTGTCGTTGCTCTTGCTGCTGCTGCTGCTGTTTCCCACGGAGAAGGTGCTTCTGTGCCACGCATTTCTGCCTTATATTTTGCTGCAGCATCCTCGAAGGTTTTTGCTGCTATGAGCTGCATGCCGCATATAAGCGGCACGCTGCTGCTTATCTCTGCTGCGCTGCAGCAGGCTGTACTGACATCTGGGCACTTGAGGAGGCCTTCACTCTGCGCTTGGGGCGTGTGGGGTCCGCTGGCAATAGATGAAACAGCAGCAGGCGTTGCAGCAGCAGGAGTTGCTGCTGCTGCAGTGACGACAGCAGCAGCAGCAGCAGCAGCACTGGCGTGGATGTCAGCTTCCCAATCCCAGCGACGAGCTAAGAGGAGTCTGATGCGGTGGTTTTGCTCTCTGCGATTATTTTCATGATGTTGCATGCCCTCCTCTTGTTCTTTTCCCCCTTCTGCTGCTGCTGCAGCAACTCCACGGGCCTCCACCGCTGCCTGCTGCTGCTGCTGCTGCAGTTTATTACTCTGCCGACGTTCATCTGTACATACACCGGAACTCACCGCAACCTCTTCCAAGCCCCGCAGCCCCTGCATGTCGCAGCAACTGGCCACCTGCCACCCCTGCCGCAGCAGCTCCTCCAGTCTATGCAGCTGTTGCTGCTGCAGCTGCAGCGGCTGCTGCTGCTGCTGCTGCTGCTGCTGCGCCGAGCCCTCTCCCGGTAATTCCCCTTCCAGTTCAATCACCTCTAGCTCCGTTACTGGAGGCTGGAAAAAGTTCCTATAGGCATGGCGCACCTACACATGGGCTGCATGCATGCATGCATGTATGCTGCATGCAACAGGGTGGATGTATGCATGCACAGATGCATGCGCGTTGCATGCAGAAGCGAATTGGGGCTGTGATGCTGCTGCGTTTTGTAGGCGTTGCGAGGTGGCGCTGCGGGCATTTGCAGCTTCTGTAATTTTTATTGTTTGTTTGAGTTGCGCTTTATCTTTTCCTGTATTTTCTTGTTCCATATTTGAATTTATTTTGCTGCTGTTGCTGCTGTTGCTGCTGCTGCTTGTATTCTTACATGTAGATGAAGCGACACTCGAGTGCGCGCCAGCACTTCAACAACTTCCCGGGAGGCAGAACCTCCTCCGCTTCTGCTAAACGCCATAGGAGCTCCAGGTGTATGTACAGCGGTAGCGAAGCTGCACTGCGCTGGGCTGCTCGAACAGCTTCTCTAAGAAACTCGTCACTGAAGCCAGGGCCTGCTGCTGCTGCTGCTGCTGCCGCTGCAGCACTTGGTCCCGCTGCTGCAGATTGACGGGAAGGCTTCTTGCGCAAGTGCCCACCAGCGTCGTGAGGGCCTGCTGCTGCTGCTGTTGCTGCTGCTGCTGTCCTGGGGTCTGAAGAGACCCCTCGGAGTTCTGTCTTAAACACCGAGTCCAACTTTGAGGCTGCCGTAAGAAAATCGGCAAACAGAGGCTCGGCGATTTCTAGCAGCTTCAGCAGCACCGCCTCTGCTGAGCTGCTGCTGCTGCTGTTGCTGTCCGCAGCAGCAGCAGCAGCAGCAGCCGCTGCTGATGTTGCGACCGCCATTGTGAACTTCTTCTTGCGGGAGCCCTTAGCCTCCTCTCGTCTTCTAGAGGAGGGGCTTCTGCTGCCAGAAGACTCACCTTCTCCTGCATGCGCGTCGCCTTCGAATTGTGCGTTCTTGCTGCGGCTGTATGCATCCCAGCCATTGCTGCTATTCAAGCCCCAAGCTTGGGCCCCGCGGCTCCCGTGGCCCTCCGGCTGCAGAAGCAGCAGCCCCAGCGACAGCAGCAGCCTGCGGTAAGTGGCAGACTGCCACCCTTCGAGAAACAAGCTCGGAGCTGTTGCTGCTGTTGCTGCTGTTGCTGCTGTTGCTGTGCTGCTTTCGCTTGCATGAGCAGCAGCTACAAGCTTGCGGATCTGCTGCTCAAGAGAAAAGCATTTGGCTGTGCTCCCGTCGCTGTTGTTCACCCGAGTACCAGCAGCAGCAGCAGCAGCAGCAGCAGCAGCAGCAGCAGCAGAAGTAGTGCGTCCGGCTCGGCCGGATGGGAGCAGCGCAGTCTCTGGATCTGTCCATACACTCGAAATAAATGCCTTCACCGCTGTGTGCAATCCCTCGAAGGCATCTGCGCAGCAACGACGACAGCAGCAACAGCAGCAGTTATTTTACTGCAGAGAGCGTATGTTGCTGCAGCCTTTCCCTGCTGCAGCAGCGCCATTCCCTACGGACCGCGACAGAGGCAAACGGAGAAGCAGAAATGCGTGTTCGCTCATTTTAATAACCTCGAATGAGCGCAACACCGATAAATGTTCAGGTGTACAGACACGTACTAACCGGCCGGCATTATGGCTTGTGCTCTGAGTTTGCACTTAGTAAGGAAAGCAGCAAAGAGGAGTTGCTTGTATTCTATTTCTCTCTTCTTTGCTGCCGCTAGCGGCTGCTGCAAGGCTTCCGCAATTGCTGCTGAGACTGCAGCACAGACTCGTGCGGCTTCTCCCCACTGCCGGCGAGAAGACAGAAGGGTCGCTAACTGCCACCAGTAGAGCCAGTAAGGAGCAGAGAACCGGGACTCAAAGGCATCTGTGGTGTACAGACACCTGCTGAGCAGCTGCGCTGCAGTGCTGCTGTAGCCACTTGAACCCAAACCCTCACATAACCGGCTCACCAGCAGCACAGCGGGGAATAGGAAGCGCTGCAGCTGCAGCGGGAGAGCAGCAGGAGCTACAGCCTCCTTAGCTGCCTTCCACGCACACAGCAGAAGATGCAGCGACTCAATGCGTTCTAACACAGAGGCACGACGGTCCGCCTCAGCGCAGCTGTTGCGGTCGTCACGCTGCTGCAGCCAGTGTGCTGCTGCTGCGCATGCGTTCAGCAACACGAACCCGCCTGTGGCCTGCAGCAAATGCAGATTCTCAAGCCTGCCGTTTCTGCTTCTGTCGCTCTTGTCGAGGCTGTCGGAGAAGCTGCTGCTGCGCTCCGCCTCTGCTGCTTTCTGCTGTCTGCTGCAAGTGGGGCAGGAAGTGTTGCTGCCGCCTTCCGTGTTGACAGTAAACGAATTGTTGTAGGCTGCGTTCTTCAGGACATCGCGCGCATCTGGGGCCTTGAGTCGAAGTACAGAGAGCGCAAGATCCGCTAAGCCCAGTTTAAGGAGCCCCAAGGCCAGATCAACGGCAGCATCAAACACCAGGCAGAGCGGCAAACGCATTGCAGACATGGAGTCAAAGGCAGACGCCATCTCCTCAAACGAATCCACCTGAGAGAATGACAGACTACACATAACTGCTGCAGTGAACTGGGGATAGCTGGTGCGTTCTACGAGCTGCCTGCACGCGGTTGTGCATGCACGCATGCATGCATGCATTCATCTCTGAGTGCAGACTCTTCTCCCCTGCTCCTACAGAGCCTCAGTAGGGCCTCCAGGCTCACAAAGTGCTGGTAAGACAGCCGGGAATGATGGGGCCCAGGTCTGCGGCGCAGGCGGCTGCGGACAGACTGCAGGAGGCGCTGCACCTCCCCGGCCGCATCCATCGTTGCTGAACCATGCAAAGCAAAACGTGACGATGGATGCAGCTCTAAGAAGAAGTGGGGAGGCAAGAAATGACTTTTGCTATGCAATGAAAGGTCAGTCGCCTTCTTTTACCGCCGCTTTCTCTGCAGATCGCCCGCAGCTCAACTCCGGTTTCGGCAGCGGTCAAGAAGGCGCCAAGTGGAAAACGGGGTGAAATGCTGACGGGCTTCGAGGTGTTCTGTTTGAAATATTCAAAGAGAAATAAAACAACTAAAATACAGGATATATAATTAAAAAACGTCCGCAAGAAGAAATATTTCAGTATCGGGCACCCAAGTCTCGAGGTGTCCGATCTGAGGAGTGCAGATTGCACGACTGAAGGGGGGAAGAAGACATGACTACATCCTCTTGAACCCTCCCATTTTCCAAACAGTAAGCACTAAAGAATAATGAAATAAATTTGATTTAATATTTGAAAAGAACTCCAATAAAATATAACCCGGTCTGCGCCGCAAGACGTACGCAAGCAAACAGTGGAGCCTTCGGGCTGAACGGTAGCTGGAGGGCAGCGGCAACAAGAGCAGTTTTGATGAAAAACTTGAATTTCGAGTAGTTAACTGCAAAACCCGCACGAACCATTTCTTATGATCCCTCATTATGTTTCATTATTCTACAAAATCTCCGTCTTCACTGCGTGGCGTTCTCCTGTTGCTGTCATGCCGCCGGTTCTGCCAGCTACAGAACAGTATAGTTGCAAGACTGGACTATCCTGTGAAGTTAAACTTCAGTTTTCACTCTTTGTTTTTTTCTGGATTATATTTCCTGCAGCGCGTCGGGCCGCTATGCCTTTGCCGCTGAGCTCTGCCCCATTCATTTTCACACGCGCCCTGGCAAAAAGAAGTTGACGCCTTGGCAGTGCTATAATTCTAACAAATGGTAAGTGAAACGGGCTTTAAAGGCTAAAGGACCAAATATAGACATTTGAAACTTGTAATAAGGAGGGGATATGCACAGGATACAGCCAGAAGTGTTAAAAGACCAGTCTGCGAAGTTAATGAACAAAACTCCCGCGATTCACAGGGCCACCTCAATGAAATATTTAGCGTCTTGTAAATAGTACGGGAACAAATTGAAAAAAATGTTTAATGGTTTGGATTCTTCAGATTTTCGCGGTGTGTGTTGAACTCAGGCAGCCTGAGAAGTGCTGCACTGAGTTGTATGCAATACCGCGATATTCGCAACTGAAACATTAACTTCGTGTGTAATAATAATGGTCCATATTACTATTACGCATAGCTTACCGTATTATTATTATTGTTTTTCTTTTCTTTATTTGTGTATTTCTACTACCATTGTGCAGAAATAATAACTCTATGGGTAATTGTACTCAGGAACCGTTTTCCTTATTTTCCTTGAAATGCGATGCGGAACCGCAGGCTCATCTTTAGGCCCTCTCTTTTTGTTGCATTTTACTCATATTTGACTTAACATTATCAACGGCACGTCCAAAATATTTCTCTATATGCGTAATTTGACGCATTTTCCCTCTCAAGATGACTTCTTGCAGAATACTCATTCAGGCTATAGCCACATAGAAAAGGGTTCTTCTGCACAATTTGCTGTTTTCTGTAGTTTCTTTGCGATTTCTATGCAAACTGCACATTTGGAGCTCGTTTTAGTCTAAGAGTCTTAGGTGCATGCAATATCTCAGCCAGTTAGGGGGGCTACCACGCTAAGATATTGCATGCAGCCCCGATTCAAGTTGGCCAAAAAATGAATCCCTTATTTGCAACGGGAACATCCGCAGAAAGTAGAGGACTATCAACTAGCATGATTGCTGTTCTTCTTCTCTTTAGGAATGGTATATATATGTATATATATATATCGGGTGTTCAATTAACTCATCTTGGTGTTGGTGGAAGCAAGGGAAAAACCCTTGGAGAGAGGCCCTCAAAAGCTCGCAAAAGCAAATTTGAAAAAATGAAAGAAACAAACAATTGCCGCTAACACCCAATTTGGTGGGTCATACAAGTTACTACGTTAGCTGCTTTGATCAAGGCTGTTGTAGCGTGTCAGTTGGATTGTGCAGTAGAAGGTTTCTAATCTAGCGAGCTATTTACGCATTCTTTAAGGGATAACTGGTGCTCGGCGCAATATGCGATAAAGACAGGTATTATATTATGCATGTTAGCCCCATTATTATATGGCTAGCGATGCTACGCGATTCGTTGATGAAGGGAATTTCCAGTTCTGAAGGACAATGTTTCTTGCTGTTTGCGGCGTTGTAATATATTATTTGCTGCAGAAGAAATAGATAGAGAAATAGCGATGGAGTGAAGCTAAACATAGATGCCTGTGTACCGTGTGCGTATAGTCAGGCACACTTAGGTGGCATACGTAGAAACAGCGAAGCCCAGCTGTTCACTACAGTTTCTTCGAGGAGTAGAAGTAGTAGCATGAATTCCTGCATATCGTAGTCTACAATACAATTTAGGCACAAATTCATGCTTACGTCTGAAAGCTTGTATTTTATAGTTTAGGGTCTAGGCTTTTTAGTGGTGAATATACCCTGAAACTGCTGCAGCTTGAAGTTTGTGAATGCGTTCGTGGAGGTCACTCGTTTGCGTCTGTGTAAGCCCCTGGCGCGAGAGCTTAAAGATTTGAAAATGCATTTTCAAAGGCTTAATAATATAAAGTAAACAATTTAATTCAGCAAAATTAAAGTAAAGTCTTTAGATTGTTACTTTTTGCCAGCACTTCAATACTTCACTCTAACAGTTTACTTCGCAACAGCTGTCCACTGGGCTTATACTGTGGCCGTAGGGAAACCGACCGCTGCGGCTTTCGCTGTCTGCGCGATGGGGGGCAAAAATACACCAATAAGAGTTTATATTTCAGCAGATAAAAGGAAATTAAATGCAACAGATTAAAAAGAAAAAGAACAGTCTTCCTTTCGTGCTGCTGAGGGACGAACAGCTGTTGTTTCTTCGCTCGCACCGCTCGTCGCCGGCGGAAGTACAAGTTGCATTTCTCTGCTTAAATCTTCTCTCTTCTTTTTTAATTCCATTTGTTTCAAAGCATTAAGCTATTTTAAATTTTGTACAAACAATTTTGTGAGGCCTTTCTAGACAATTGTGCCTCTATACAGTCGCTGACTGGCAGGCAGTTCGCCTGCTGCATCATCGTCGATGCGTATCTTCAGCACCAAACGAGGTTATTTCTGATTAAGTTTTTGTCTCAAAAAATTATCATTTAAAGAGAATATAGTAATTGCAAAGGGAGCCGATACAAGCTCCTTCTTTTTAAGGGCTGTCTCTGCGATTGACTTGTTCTCTGTCTCGTTGAGGGGAGGGCTGACTTTCTTTTCTTTTGTTCTTGTTCATCTCCCCCCGTTAACTTTAGGTCCAGGGGGAGAGGTAGACTCTAGAGCCTTACAGCTGCAACAAACAGCTGCGAGGCCTCTGATAATTTCACTATAAAGTCGTCTGCTGCTGCCTCAGCCACATGATGCAGCAGGAAGCTGAGCCTGCCGTTGCTGATAACTGCGGCATGGGCCCTGTTAAGATTCAGGCAGCTGCAGCAGCAGTATGCCCACTAGAAACTGCAACATATCCCGTACTGGAGGATGAAGACAAAGCAGCAGCAGCAGCAGCAGCAGCAGCTGGGGAGCGCAGCAAAGCAGCAGAAAAAAAAGAGCAAAGAGGCGCGAAGCTGATTGCGCGTTTTGAAGAAGACTACGATGAAGAACTGCAGTTTGCTTCAGCTGCTAACGAAGGGGCAATGATCCTCTACGAGAATAAATTTGAATATACACCGGGAAAACAACAAATTAGGAAACGATGCACATTGCTACAAATTGAAAATTTTCAGCACAGTCGCAGCAACTGCACAGATATAGTTCAGTTGAACAGAAAGGCAGCAACAGCAACAGCAGCAGCAGCAGCAACAGCAACAGCAACAGCGCGCTTGCGGTTCTCTCCTCGTCTTCCTCCCTGGACATTCGCTAACTGCTTTCCAGTACAGCAGATATATGCTTCTTCTGGTTATAAACCTGTAGCTGTCTGCAGCAGTAACGAGTCAGGGGTCTTGCTGCTGCTGCTGCAAGCACCTTCACAGCAATCGTCTGGCCGCCTTGTGCATTGCCGCTTCCCTTCGGTGGTGCGGCTTCAAGAACATGAACGTTGGTTGGCTGCTGGAGCACTAACTGCTGCAGAAGAAGCAGCAACAGCAACAGCGGCAGCAGCAGCAGCAGCAGCAGCAGCAGAAGCGGCTGTAGCACCTTGTCTAACTAAAGAAGTGCTCAGCTTTAGGACCTCCCTTCAGCCAATGCACCAATCCAAAGGAGCGATGGCCTTAGTCTGCACACGGGGAGAAATCTTCCTCTTAGTAGCCGAAGGCAAACAACAACATAAACAACAGCATACACTTGAACAAGAGGGCCAGCATAAACAACAACAGCAACAGCAGCAGCCGCAGCAACAACAGCAACAGCAACAACATGAATGGGAACAGGATCGCAAACAAAAAGCTGAGGATCGGCAGCAGCAACATCAACAGCAGCAAGAACAGCAGCATGAACAGCAACATGAATATGCATGCAAAGCAAAGACAGCCCCAAGGCTGGTTGCGTGTTTGCTCAGCAGCAGCAAGGCCTGCAGCAGCATCGTCAGCAGCAGCAACACCACAGAGAGCAGCAGTATTAGCTCGTGCTGCAGCAAAATGGAAAACATTCTTGAAGATCTCCCCAGATGGCCGCAGAGTCAAGAAGATGCAGCAGCAGCGCCGCCTCTCCGCTGCTTCTTTAGCGCAGCAGCAGACGAGCAAAGCCAGACCCTCATTCTGTTTGGTGGTGCAGCAGCAGCACTCGGGGGATCCAACGATGTACGAGCCATCAACCCCTGCAGCAGTAGCAGCAGCAACAGCAGCGACAATAACGGCAGCAGCAGCAACACCAGGAACGACATCTACAGCAGAAACCCCAACAGCGGCAGCAACGCCACCGCCGGCATCAACAACACCAGCAGCAGCAACATCAACAACAGCAACGCCAGCAGCAGCAGCAGCAGCAGTAAAGATTCATTCTTGCCTGCCTCTTGGGAAACTTTGGACGACCTTTGGATTTTCTGCTGTCGGTCTCGCCAGTGGCGGCAATGCCCTCGCGAGCAGCAGCAGCCGAAGTCTGTGACGTTTGCTGCAGCAGCAGCAGATGCAGAAGGAGCAACAGCAGCAGCAGCAGCAGCAGACGGATTGGCTAGTTACTCTCTCCCCCGAAGAAGACGCATCCTGTGGGCCCCAGCCCTTGCGGGGCACTCTGCTGCAGTGTACAGAGGCAGCATGTTTGTCTTTGGCGGTTACAAACAGCAGCCAGCAACAGCAACAGCAGCAGCAGCAACAGCTGCAGGAAGAGCGTGGGTGCCTCGTTCTGATCGGGGTATATCTGTATCCGATCTATGGCGCTACAACATCAAACAAAATGCATGGAGCTGCGAGAGAGCAGCAGGAAGGGCCCCCATGCCTCGTTATTTGCATGCAAGTGCTGTCATCGGCAGTTTCTTGCTAATATACGGAGGACAGACAGCTGGGGGGCCCCTCCCTCTCGACGAAATAATGTTTGCTGCAGATATAGGGGCCCTCAACCAACTCAGCTGGACGCGAGTTACTCTCCTTGAAGCACCTCCTCAACCCCAGTTCTTCCTAGGAGCAGCAGCAACAGCAGCAGGAGCAGCAGCAACACCAGCAGACTGTTGCTACTGTAGTGCTGAAGAGGGGATAGCAGCAGATGCGTTGTTCATCTGCGGGGAGGGGGGAAGTTATTTAGTTGCGTTAAAGGAAATAGAAGCGGCGGCAGCAGCAGCAGACAAAGCTGCAGCAACGAGAGAATGCTGGGGCCCCCTCGAACAAAGAAGGCGAACAGACGAATCAGAAGCAACAAAGCAGGCCACCAAACAATTGTTGCTGCAGCAGCTGCTGCAGCAGCAGCGCCTGCTGCAGCAGCTGCTGCTGCAACACGAAACGAAGCAGCAGGCCGCTGCTGCCTCTCTTTGCCTCTACTCTCCTTGGGGCCTCCAAAGCGCAGACGCGGAGGCGAGCCAGGTGCGCTGCAAGGCAGCAGAAACAGCAGGAGAAACAGCAGCAAAAGCAGCTGCTGCAGCTGTTGCTGCTTGGGAGGAGAGCGACCCGTGCAGCACGGCAGCACAAGCCGTAGCAGAGCTCGCTGCTGCTGCTGCTGCTACTGTTGCTGCAGATGGGGAGGAGCACGTAGGCCGCATGCAGCCCCAGCACTCCGCTGTTCCGAAGCTGCATATACTCGCAACACCAATGATGGCTTCAACGGAGAGGAAGCACCGTGCTGCTGCCTGTGGGGCAGTTGGAGCTTCTCTTTCCCCGCTGCTGCTGCTGCGGCAGCCTCGCAGAGAGCTGCT